GCGTACATCAAGGTCAACCCAGGGTCCCTCTTGTCAAGGCTAAACTGCAGTCAGATCTGAGGCTCCGATAAAGGTCACAGTGATCTTATTTAGCTATTGATAGAAAGCGGAAAAGAAAAACAAAAATTTTGGAGTGTTAACAACGTTACAGGCGACGAGATATAAATTAGTTTTTCCCCGTCTATTAACCGTTTTCAACCAGTGAACCCGTTCTCTTAGGTCTGAATATATCGGTGTGCACACTTTCGTCACTAAATAAATGGACAGCATACTCCAAGTAAAACCGAACGAATGACCAAAAAACATCCGTGCAGGCCTGGCGTCTGTGTTTTAAAAGTTATTATCTGCAGCTGGAGCGAGTGCTGGGAGGATAATATAGAAGCTTGGTCATCTGCCTAAAGAAATCAAATTGGTTTAACTATACATTTATCTTCTCAGTTACAGGCAACTATGCCGTTGCCTCATCTACCAAATTGCCAGAGGCCGTGATGACTTCGAATTGGCTCGGCAGAACATCTGTTGGGTCATCCGATTAATCTGCGGGGTAAGTTGGCCCATATAGACGCTCAACGGGACACCTACTTCCAGAGAGTCTTTGGAGCGTGGGAAGGACTCACTGACGAGCTGGCCCTTCAAGAATCTTAGCGAAATTTAAATGCAAACTCGAATCCCATTTGCCGAGAAACCGTTGTACATAAAATTATGATTTTGCCAGTAGCGCCCGTTAACGCCTGGTTCATACAATTTGATGACGTTACATTTACTCTTATTATACATACAGATTTTAAAGTTACATGAAGCACGATTGTAAACACCAGAGAATGAAATGGGCCATTCTGGCTCGATAATGTGGTCATACCTTTGTTTTTAGACAACAACTGTGGACAAATTTGTTCAGGAATGAAACAGAATGTTCGCATTCCAGATATTAGTTATTGTACACACGTCACAAGCAGCCACCCCATTTGTTGCTGTTGTTCCACCTCTGACGATGCACTCCTACAGGAGCCCGAAAGCACAGGACAAAATACAATTTTTTCCAGTGCTCGATCGTGTGTCTTCTTTACCAGGACAAATTTGTCTTTGACAAGCGCATGTTTGTGTTTCTACTCCCGATTGATGATGAAGTTTGTAAGCGACCTAACGAAGGTTGAATAATGGTTGAGTGTTCTTCTGCATGTTTGGGGTAATATTTGATGCCTTTAAAGGCCCTATTTAAAATGACATACGGAAATAGTCCACTTGAAATACGTAAACTATATATGTTACTTTTAGATAGGGAGTAACATTTTCACATGTACAATGTGAACTTTGCGCATACTCATCTTGAAGATCGTAGATAAAATCGTTAAATTTTACATGTTCCATTTATCTGTTGGTGTGAGCAAGTCATTAATATGTTCTAACAGTGCTTTCCCGGGCAGCTAAAACTTATCTCTCAAGTAAATATACAAAAGCGATCATGTTTAAGTGAGTCTGTGGTATTCACCATTATGACCTCTTCCAAGCACCGATCACTATCTGTGAAAACGAATGGCTGCTGACCTTCTGATGGGATAACGTTTCTCGGAGTTTGGGAGAATTCCCACACAGGTTAGTTAATATGGCGAACGCTAAGAAGTTATAATAACAATAATAATAATATGTTTATTATGCAAGATTACAGGCAATTGTAAAGAGTTAGCAATGCACATCCTTGGCGCATTCCCAAAACCTCGAAGACCGGAAAAAACATAAAACAAACTCCCTCTTTTGCAGCCAGTATTGATTTTGTTTCAGGTTTTGT